GTTAATGTGTGCCATATAATATTTTTTTATTTTACAACTTTATTCATAAAAAATATTACTCTAATATTTTTTAATTTATTTTTTACCGCAAATTTTTGGAAAATGCAGGAAATAAGCGGAGCTGTGCCCTTTCCGTGTATTTTGCATTCATTTGTATATTTGTTGCTAAATTCTGCGTACAATTTGTCTTCATAAACATAATAACATACGCGTGACACGAAGATTCCAAGTTTCTTCTGCAAAATACATTCTATATCTTGTGACTTCTCCGAAATAAATTTGCGGAATCTCGGTACCGATACTAGACAGGAAGTAGTGGGTACACGTGACGCAACGCCGCGTGGTCAATGTTGCATTTCTCAGTACGATGATTCGTCGTGTCACGACGAATCGTGATTCATTCGCAACTGGCGCCAATCGGATGGCGGATATATCGCGGACGGTCGCCTCGATTGTAGTTATGCGGTGGGAAGCGCGTTTTTCCGCGGGTATGCAAAGCGGATCAGCAAATAGCTGTCATCGCACCGTTTGGTGGTAGCTTAAGCGTGACAACGAGACTCCAATGAAGTCATCCCTTGTATCTCCCTACTAGTGCGGTGCCGACAGCGCGCGTTTCCCCCCTCGCTCTCTGTCACCCGCTACGCTGCACGGTCGAGGATAATCTGGCAGCTCGAACACGCGGAATCCTCTCGAGAAAGAGTCGAACGGAGCCGAGAATAGTCGAAGTAACGCGACCGCGCGACCATGTGGCGATAGCACGATGACAGAAGCACTGTCAGTGTCACTGCGACTGCCGTTCGGCGCGGTTGTGCAGCAAGTACTTTGTTGTATTCGCTGTTCCTCTTTTTTTTTTCCTCTTATTCTCCCTCTCGCTCACAGAGGCGGCCTATCGAATTCACCGCAAGGTCGGCGGCGGTGGCGACGTTTCCTCGCACGCGTTCGCGTGTGACGTCAAAACGATTGTCAGAAACGCTCACAGAGCGTGCCTCGCTTCATTTCTGTGAAAGGAAACGCGATCAGTTCAGGTTGAGTCGCTGGAATCGACGATAGTTTCACGAACAGGCACGAGGCCGACCGTCGCTTGTTGTTCGAGGTGAGTCGAAAATCATTTCCATTTTAGGCTGTCGCAAAAAAAATGCCTCCACGTCGTGTCCTTGCACGATCCGTCGCTATTGCGTTCTTAGTAGCGCACTGATAATGAATTTATTTGAAGCTCCCAGCTGTTTGGCGGCAGTTTTCGATCATGGCGGCTTTGATCTGTAATCGTTGCAATTTGTTGTAATCACAGAGTTATTTCACACAGATAGCAATTCTCTTTTAATCGCTGTCATCATTTACGCTTTGATTGTAATTTGTACATTATCCCGGCAGGAATTCTCAATGTTGGGAAATCCCAAATGCATTTGCGTTGATCTTTGTCCGATGAAAAAATATAATTATCGTTCATCTACTTTTGTTATCGCTCCGCTATTCCATGTTTCTTCGTCGTTTTTTAGCTCGCGCGGTTTGATTTCGTGCACATAAAACGTGTCGTTCACGTAAGCGCACTTTTTAGAATAATGAAACAACCTATACTTCTCTCTTGACCGTTCTTCACGCATAATGATTCCACAAATTTCTATGTATTCTAGATTATGCTTTATTATGATTACATTAACAACAATATTGTATTTGAAGAAAGAATTAATATGTACAAAAATATATATATCATTACTTATAGCAATTATTTTAATTCACATACAATAGTTAAACTCTAAAACAATTTCAGAAAACAGAGAAATTATGTTGAAATATGCATGAACGCAATGTTTGTTAGCACAACATGCGATACCTCTGTATTCATTTATTCATTTATTGTCGATTTGTGAAAAAATATACTTATGATGACATCGCCGCGCTGATTGACGTCACATCATGCTGTATAATCACGGCATGTAATGATATATCTTGCATCTGCGTAATAATCATCTCATCTGGCATTAAGTTTCTTATTGCATTTTGTAAATAGCATTGCTAATTCTTGTAACGACTTAATTAACTTCAAAAAAATATGTCAAAGTAATAATTTTCGACTATTTTGAATTGTGAAATTATTCGATATTTATGTATTTTTTGAAACCACATATCAATCCAACGAGAGTAGTCTTCCGGGAAGTCCCATCGTGTTGTGCGTTTGTATTTTTCTGAATATCGCACAAACAGCACTCGCTCAGTTCCTTCTTCCTACTCTGAATGCGATAAAACTAACTAGACATTGCACTTGACTAGTTGCATAATCTGACGTAGATAACTTTTTTTAGTAAATATATTTTATGTAATGAGTATTTCTTTCTTCAATTTTTATATATATATAGGAAAGCTTTGTGAAGTAAATTTTTTCCCTTTTTTTTACATATTTTCCGATTTTTATCGCATAGTACATAAAAGCAGACATTTTTCTTGAAACATGATATATACTTTTCTTTGTATACGTCGCATTTTATAAAGAACCGTGCTGTTGCAATGCATTAGAGAACACACTTGTGCGCGCTCGTTATCATGTTTACATTCTTTGTTCTCGGCATGCCATTGGCATCGACACGTTTATATCGTTGAAGGAAAATCTTCTTCCAATTGACGGAAAAACGCTTTAAAGTTGCTGCAATATGCGCACGAATGTTATATGATAAAAATGATTTATTCATTGGTATTTTTTACCGATTGCTATAAATGAAAAATTTGTTAAATTCGCAAAGTTATAATGCTTTAGCGCTAAAATATTTTTTTATACGAGATACAAAAATTAAATTAAATATGACATTTATATTCCGCTTATTACTTTTTCCTATGTGTATTGAAAGTTTGAAAATGCATTGCGAAGTCGAGAAGGCATCAAGGTCCGTGAACGGAAGCATGAAAAAACAGCAAAAACAGAGATAAAGATAGAAGTTTCCTTTGTTATCCAAGGTTGCGCTCTCGCAGCAGCGGCTTTCGACCGCACTTTTTCTGTCGGTCGGTGGTCGCGTAGTGCACACTACTCTTAGAGTGTGGTTACGTTATTATTTTCCGCGTAATATTCAGTGGCATGATTAACCGTGTGCATGAAGGGCGGCAGAAGGGGGGAGGAAATGCGCTAGACACACTAGTAAATATTGCGGCTCTCGGTCGATGTCGATTTATTGGAACTGTTACGCAAACACGCGCTGTATTGCATAAAAATGAGTTTAATCTTCAACCGCGAACACGATCCGATAAAAAAAAACGATTCAATAACAAAGACAGGTTTCTGTCTAGACTGGGAACCACCTATATCTGTGTATAACCGCAGAAAGAAGCAATATTTAATAAGTATATATGAATTTTAAACGTAAAAAGATACGAAATTTAAAAACTAACTTTAGAAATAATAATTTAGTATAAAATAAAATATATTTTGAAAAGCCGTGTTTTGTTAAATTTCTCTGTTAACATGTATACGGCAATTTTTCACGCACCGTAATAGTTACGGCGATGTATGTTTAACGTTGGCGAAGCCCGTGACAGGCTCGACCGATCAAACATAAGATTGTTTATCATAAACTGGCTACCACGTGTTTTCACATCAAGGAGAGATAAGGTTGGTTTTGAATGTCCATCTCATATTCATACAGACTTCTTTCCAATGACATAAAAAGGAACATGTTTTTGATACAAACAAGTATTGATTTCCTGATCAATGCAAATTATATCAAGCAAATATTCAAAATTATACGTCAGTTATAAACATCAGAAATTAGCATAATAGTATCTTGTGTAATGTATCGTTATTAACTTTTGAAATTTATCGCAGAAATTTTCAATTTGTTAATCAAATTTTTAATTTATTTAATAATTATTTTAATTATATGTTAAATTTATTGAGCTGTCTATTTGGCATTTATAGTTACCAGATTTTTAATAGTAAAATGATGAAATATAACAATTTTAAACTTAAACACTCATCGTGGCGCTTCATCAACTTTTTAACAACGCGATACGAGAGCCACATCCTGGAAATGTTCAACGCGATAGATAAAACAACTTTAACCAACATGACGCGACCATTTTTAACTTCCGTTTCTTCGCTAATTTCTCCAGAACATTAAAAACAACGTCTAAATTATAACGTGGAAGAGAATAGCGCACAAGAGGAGATTTCATATCTATAAATGTGTAAATTTTATATCTTGTCTTGATTTTGTCTTTTATTTATATCGTGTCTTTTTTTAGAACGTATTTTCTAAAAACATTAATTAAGTCGATCATTAATTTTTGCCGTTTTCGATCTCTCGAGATTGAAACGTTTTGCGCTTGAGATCGTCGATGGCGGGGAAATTTTCTGGCACTAGTCCAAGTCGACGCATCCGCTAGCCGGCGTCGACGACAAACGACTCTACACAGGTGTTAAACTTAGATCTTGGGCTAATTAAGACCTTTTAGACGGTGGCCGCGTAATAGGGAATTTTGCGTGTACCGGGAAAACCATTGATCGAGCATCAGTCAGCAGAAATGCCGCTTCGTTGTCTCATTTTCAAAATTTCTGTAGCTCTGAATTGCCAATGATTGAAATTATTTATTACTATATCGCGAATACTTGGTAATCGATACAACTGCGTATCATTGAAAACGTCTATGGAATCATAATAATATAAAATATTTGATTATACAAATATTTTATTTTAACGATACAATTATGATAAATATTTTCCACCCGTGTCTTCTTCATTATTTTTATAATCGTCAATCTAAATTGTGATTGATTCTATTGCTTTTTAAACACGATATTCGTAAAGTGTACAAGGATAATGATTTTTTAAGCGGTCAATGGTCCATGCACGTGAAATCGGCGAAGCTGTAAAATGTTATTTTTCTCCTCCCTCTCCTACTTCTCTCTCTCTCCCCCTCGTCGCGTTCATCGCAAAGCGCACATACTCGAAATTCGAAGGTTATTTTTAGGATAGGTTTCGTCGTCGCGTAAGGCCACGACGAGCGGCATCGGCGTCGCTCGCTCAGTGTTAAAGAGGCGTCGGTGGAGGACGCAGTGGTGACGAACTTTTCGATAAGTGAAACGAAACGAGCGCATAAAGATGGTGTGAATATAAAACAGGGGGTGTGAAGAGAGATCGAGACAGATAAGAGAAGCGAAGCGCACACACCGACGCCCGAACGACGATCTTCCTACGAACGAACGATCGACTGAAATATCATTTATTCATTACTTTCGAGCCCCATTTTTCCAATCCCGCAACTTATCCTTTCCTTTATCCATTTTCTTTTTTGACTTTCCGTTATATTTTTCGCTACCTCACCGTCACATTTTCGACGACGAACAAACGAATATTGAACGAATAACCGATCGCTCAAGTTATGGCAGCCACCGCCATGGATCCAGTCGACATTGCAAACATACTCGCGCAGGAACTGCTCTATCAGCAGGTAATCGCGAAAATCGTTTCACAAGCGCGATGATTTCTGAATATCCAAATATTTCATTTCATCCAACTATAAGTCTTTGTACTTGAAAAATAAATAACAAGAGATGTTTGTATACGAGTACATAAGATGATCAAATATATTAATGTTTTTCAAATAAGTGAACAATATTTTGTATTAATTAATAGTGCAATTTAAACACAATTGCCTCTCTGAATAATTAAATGAATTATACGATATTTTATTCTGTGAAGAAATCTCTACACATTATCGTTGTTTGCTATCTAATATCATTCATTCTTTGATCAATACATTCGAAAAATATTTACCATTCGCTTTGACGGCTCGTGTAAACTCCGATGTGGGCGCGTTTGATGGGGGCGATATTCGATCTCATTGTGATCGTGAACGCGACGCGAATAAAGTGGCTCTTTGTCGAAAAGGGTTCCGAAGAGGCGAGAAGGATCTTCGGGACGATCGTTTCTGATCTGAAAATAAACGCGTCGGCTGGCGCGCGTTAGATACGCAACGAGAGAACGGTTTCATTCACGGCGCTTCGATTAATTTCGACGAATCACCGATCGCGGTGAAGCTCTAGATAGGTCAATCCGTCATCATGTGTCGTTCGATCGCGCGTAATGCGGAGCGGCGAATTCTCGTAATTACTATGAACTTGAGGGAGAGAAAGCCGCCTGGTGTCGAAGCGAGGCCAAGTCCGGTTTATGCGGGATGATGATTGCGATGCGAACGAGCGGGGGATTGTGCAATATTGTGCAATATCGTTGGAAATTCCACCCGCCTCGGTGAAACTATCGCAAGCGTACCGAGAATTGTTTTACGCGATCAGTTGATGGGGAGTTTGATAGGGATATTCTTAAAATCCGTAATCGGTTCGATTTTAAAGCGAATTTGATCATTCAATACATTTAGATTCTATGAATTGTCGGGTACTCGGAATTCTTTTATATCGTCGTTTTCATTATCATATATTTCGATAAAATTGATATAGCATGATGTATATTTTATATACAAATATATAAAATAAAAATCATATCTATATCAATTTTTTTATAACCCTTGAACAATTTATTTCGAAATTAATTCGTATATTATGTTGGATATACAAACTGTTGTATGTGTTGTATTTTAATTTTTCGTTAAATCGTCAATTTATTTAAAATTTTTATAACATACACTTTCTTGAAATTATTTAACTGAAGATAATTTGCTAAGAATTCGACAAAAATGTAAAATGCTTCAATTATTATTAGACTAGCACACGCGACAGTCATTAATCTGCACGACGACGAAACATTTCTAACAAATATCGCCAATTAATTCGACGTTGGCACGGTTACAAATTATAACAGTAATAGACGTTCTAACAAAGTTACGTCGTATATTTTCAAAAATTATATATATATTCAAAATATAAAATCGAAATGTGTAAAATATAAAATGCAGAACATAAAATAATGATGGCGGGATGAAGACATTAGAAATTTATTAGTCGCTTGCTTTTAATATATATGTAATTATATACGCAATAATCGGAATTCATATGAAATATGACACAGGTCTATAAATACATTAAAATGATCCTCGATCATCATTTAATCGTATGATATCTCGGTCTCGATAGCGTGGCAAGTGGATACAACGTGCTCTTCAGGTTCGATCGCGCAATTAGTTTATCGTCTTCGCACTGGAAGCGCCGCTCTAGGCGAGGATCTATTTTCCGCGGTATAAAATTACGCCGGCGGCGAAGCGATGCGGTGGGCACGCTCGTTCGCTTTTGCGCGCTTCCCGCCGCGTTTCGGAGCAAATCGAGCGAGAATGACTGCAACTGTTATCTGGATATGCGTTTCGCAACGATTTTCTGGTGGCTGATATCGCCCTTTGTCCGCAGACTCGTAACGCGCGCTTTCAGGGCAGATTAGAGAGAACAGCGAACACATATTTATTTATAGAATCGCGGACCGCGTGCGCACCCATCGTGTACGTGTTCGGCATACGTGTGCGTGCATGCCGTCGTCGTCATTGCATTTGTGTGTGTCGACATGCATACATGTATGTTACGACGATGAAGAGAGCGAGCAAGCAACCGCATCGCACAACGGAAGACGCGTGTGCATGCCAACACAGCCGTCGGCTTTGTAAAAAAAAGCGCGACGTCGCGCGCGCGTTCTCGCTCCAACTGAGAAGAGGAAATTCTGCTGAAAGGCGGACAGATAGCGATTCGTGAAATTGCGCGCAATTTACACAAATGTATGTTTGAGTTTTTATATTTTTTTTTTACGCGGCAATGATAACAGCGACGGCCGAGGATCAACGTTATTATTGCACGTCGATCTATGGATATCGCAGAACTGCATTCCTCTTTGATTAATTTGGAAATGATATCTTCTCGGAAAGAATTTGATTGAACATGATGTTTCGTGATATTTTAATATTGTTTTCGCATTTTTTATTAATGACGAAACTTTGCCAGTGTTATCGCTCATGCAAAATTTATTTGTATTCTCAATTCTAGAAGATCAGTTTCACAAATTTTAGTCTTTTGCGATTTGAAAGCTTGCCAATGATACATTTTTTAGTTTCTAATATCTTAAATTTTCTAAAAGAAGATTATAAAATTTTATTTTGAACTGTAAATATATCGTGCGATTTGCATAATGCAGAAGAAAACTGCGAAGTGCATGAAAATGATTCATATGTCTGTCTTATATGTGTATAATAAGGGAGAAACTTGTAGACACTTGATGCACATGCACGAACATGTAATAACTCGTTCGGACGAACGAAGTGATACCGCAACGAACAATACGGAGCAAGGTGAACGTCCAGAATGGCCGGAAGTTGTTGGTATGACGACAATCGGAAAGTCATCTCTCTGTACTAACAAAAGTATCGCTTTATCAACCTTTTTCTTTTCAAAATTATCTTTAAAAAAATTTTTTTTGTTTACTTTTTAACAAAGAAAATAGATAAAAATTCTTCGGTGTTTTGTATTTTATCGGTTAGGCGTGCATTAAGAATTTTTTAATCATCTTATTGACATATATACATCAATCATGCTGCGTATTTGCTCCATTTTTGTTTTTAAGAATGACGAAAATTAAACTGTCCAATAAACCGGTTTATCTGTGAAGTTTCTCGAAATTTATCATCTGATAATAACTTCGTTAATGCAGCATAACGGAATCCGTTCTTGCGATCGTGAATTCTCCTCTGTGCCAAATCGTAAGGTGCCCGCGTCGAAGGACGCTGCAATAAATTAAGATCGCGACGCGCGATTTTTTCGAGACAGCTGATCAAAATCCGTGGTAAAAAAGTTGGCTGACGGGTCAAAAAAACAATGATCGACGACTTGCGTCGGAGATATATCTGTATTGCTTTGATAACCAAATTTTTAAAGATACAGTATATAAGTAATAATAGTAATAAATTATCAATAATTATGAGGTAATATGATTGTGTATTTTGTTTCGGGAAAAAGCAAAATTTAAAAAGTGAAACTTTAGAATTTATAATTGTTTAACTAAGCTGTACATATATAAAATTCCATTAATGGACAAAACAGCGTATACTGTCATCGCAAGATTTATAATATTGATTTTTCAAGATTTTTTTATGGTTTTACAAGCACTTTTGATTAGTAACATTCGTAGGCGATATCATCGTAGAGCGCTAATAATAACCGAACAATTAAGGATTATTGCTAATACTGAGTTGGAAAGATAAACGATGCGATCGCCCCGAGCAATTTTCGTGATATCCGGAATTGTCTTTCGCACTTTCTCACGCGGGACCGAAATTCTTCCAGTGACCGTGACGCCGCTAAACTCGCACGGACATGATTTGGTAACGCCTAAGTTTAACGCTCCGGACATTCCTGAGGTTCTTGCGCGATGGTTCGCGATGGGTGAGAGCAGTGTAGCCGGTCGGTGGGTGGCCGAACGACGACGGCTGAAATCGGCGATTCGGGGGCTACGCTAAGTAATTTTAGCGATGACACTTAAAGCGGTCTGCCTACGGTATTTTCCTTCATCACGGAGCGTGATCTCGCCAAAGGAGGATGCATCAATCGCTCCTGCATACATATTAACGAGGAACGATATTTTATCGTTTTCATATTGCTCCGCATTTTAAATATCTGACGATATACGCTTGTGATTCATATTGACGTTCCAATTTCGCGCAAGAAATTATTTTCTTGCATTAATTCGATTGATTAAAATCTATTGTTAAAAAAATTATAAGTCTTTTTTCAATCGCTGTCTGAAAATAAAAACTGCATCATGATTTAGATGCCACGCATCGCAGTTATATTGTTCCGATGTATACTATATTGCATTAAACGTCGCGGTAATTTGACATTTCTCATTGCGAAGCGAAGAGAGGATGGCGGCCTTCGTTAAAACGGTCGGGATGGCGATTTGTAATTTTAGAAATGATAGCGAGTCTCGCGGCGGCGCGTCTTCTCGCTAGAGAGCGAAGGACGTGTTTCTCTTCTCCTTCCTGCGTCCTTTTGTGCTTTCTGGGAAACGCGCGCCGCGTATAGATTACGTCCCCGACTGGCGATTGGACGGTGCGATAATGGCACGCGAGGTTGTCGCTACGTGAGCTGCGATTTGAGATGCTCGTTAATATCGTTGTAGTTAGCGAAACGACGGGTTTGCGGAGGCTGTCTCTCTTTTTCGGTGAAATCACGTTTGAATGACGGCGAATTTTTTTTTGTTTGTCTCGCCGCAGCATGGAAAGTATGCTTTTAATTCGAAGCGAATTACGACATTGCGCAACGTTAACGCACGTGTGACTGCGCAGTGTTGTAAAATTGTCAACCGAGACGAGGAACACGGAGAGAAGAATTCGCAAATATTGTCACGAATTAATTGCGAGATACGCTGTCGTAATTTCAACAATATGCGCCTTTGGAATCGTAACTCCGATGATCTATCCAAGTGACGCGATGATACGTTATCGGCTATTGGATCATGGATATTTTTATCGAGCCATCTTGACGAGATTAACCGGTTGATATCAGCATGGAAAGTCGGAGATAACACGATATCGTTTCTACGTTAGCGGCAGTTTCTTTTCTGCGAACGAAATCGTACCACAGAAAATTTTGCACCGCGAATCGAATGATTGATCATTTTCTATTCTTAGACAAAATTGGAACAACAGAAAAGAAAGTAATTTCAATTAATCTTTAAAAAATATTTATGTTTGTATTAAGCAGATAATAAAAAGAGATTTTGCAATGAATTTGGCTGTAATCTTGCCATTGAAATAGTTTTAGTGCGAAAGTAGGTTCGCACATGAAAGATGGTAAACATATTTTTCAAATAACGTGGTCCATTATTTTGTTGCAGCTGGTATCTCTGGACGGACTGCACAGCGGTGTGCCGACCAGGACGACGCCGACATTAACGCCGACCACCCTCCGTAGTATCGAGCAGACGTTCCTGGAGCTGACGAGCGAGTCGGCGTCGCACAGTCGCGAAGCCGGCTTTGTGCCGCCGCTGGTCGAACCGTCGCAGCCGACTCCGGCACAGACGCAAAACACGACGGCGACGCATCTCCCGGCGCTGACGGCGACCACTCTCGTCGAGAGCCAGCAGCAACAAACGCAGCCGCAACAGCCGCAGCAGCCAGTTAGACGCAACATGGGTGGCAGAAGGCCTACTAGAACGATTGGAATGAGTCCAGAGGAGGAAGAGAGGCGACAAATCCGGCGCGAAAGGAACAAGATGGCAGCGGCGAGATGCCGCAAACGAAGAATGGATCACACGAATGCCCTACTCGAAGTAAGCGTGACTTTTGTGGATGGTTGAATTTTTTTATTATGTTCTAAGAATACAACTTGCAGATCTTTTCAATGTGTTATAGTAAATTTTTAATCCTTAAAAAAATCACAAACATGTTACTGAAAAAGAAGAGAGTATTACGTAATACTTGTGTATTGCAGGAGACCGAGGGCTTGGAACAGAAAAAGCAAAGCTTGCAAGACGAAATCCAACAATTGCAGCAGCTGAAAGATGAACTTGAATTTGTTCTGGAAGCTCATAGACCGCTCTGCCGTCGTTCGCTGCGTTCTTCGTCCCCGCTGGATGTAAAACCCGTGATAAAATCCGACCTTTCGATTGAGGATCAATTCGCCACCGACCCTGCAAAGGGCGACACGATAGTGGCCGCAGCGAGACCGAACAGACCCAATTCACTGCCCGTCGGGTTGGACAACAACAACAGACTGAATTCCCTGTCGATGTTCGTGGAGCCGAAGGAAAGACCGGACACGCTCGCTTTCAAGACGGTGGAAACACCGGCTTTCATGAAGCCATCGATGGATGTGGCCGCTATGCCAATCACCACTCCGACCAGCGGTATACCATTCAACTTTGAGTCCTTGATGGAAGGCGGCACTGGCCTCACTCCAGTTTCCACGCCCTTGATACCGTCATGCTCGACGCAACAGAGAAGCAACCTGTCCGCCGTAGATCTCAGCTCCCCGGATGCGAATCCTCCGAAACTCGTGAGCTTGTGACGCCACGACGACGATGTGGTCGGCCATGGGACGAACGAGGAAGAGGATGATCCCGAACGGGAGTACCATGACGCGGAAGTTTAATTTCTTTAACGAGAAACAGAGAAGTTTGCACGAATTGTGTTCGTGCTTTTTACAACAAAATTTTTTTAACTCGCAATAAAATCGCACTTTCTAATAAATTTTTATTTTTCATGAAGAAAAAAAAATTATTTTTTTATAGATTGTTACAAGATCGTAATTTGAAATTTCAGATGGAATTTAAAATCTAAAACTTTCAAATATTAAAATTATTATAAAGATTATTAAAAAATCTAAATAGTTATATTTAGATTTTGGTTATTAATAGTTCTTTTATATAATTTTACTCTCTAAACGCGCGCGGTATGATTCTTTATGCATTTTATTAGGGAAATTAAAAAATTTTGTTATAAAAAATATGGGCGTAATAACACGTTAAATATAAAAATATTTAACGTTTAAAGTAAATTAGAAATAATAAACAAGTAAGAATTCTTTGAATTACGCTTGATATCGAACAACAATTTGCATAATTCAAAGGTATATTTAATATATTATAGTAGAGCGGGTAAATAAAATAACACGAATGCGGGCATTTTTTTCACGCTTTTTCGTAAGTACGTATAAAAATCGTACATATAAAAATAAAAATTGTCTCGCTTTCGTGCTCACCTGCATTGACATAAATAAGTTTTTATACGCGACCGTCGTTTTTCCAGTCTCACACGACATTATAACATTAATCCCTCCATACAATATAATATACACATACATACATATATTTTACTATGTATGACATTTTTGCATGATCTTAAGCAATATTAATATATTTATGCGCGACTGCTAGTTATGATGCATAGAAGCCGTAAATAATTGATGATTTTTTTGATAGAGCGCTAGTGAATTCTGCTCCGATTAATTACTGAAAGCTTTCCGTGTCATACTTAGCGGTCGCTGTTGAGAATCATATATGGAGATTGTAACGCACCAATGATAATGTTGCAATATATTTTGATTAGATTGAATCAATAAATTCAGTAAAGTGAAATTCTACTCTGTATTATTAATTTTTTATTTACTACTTACAAATTTCAGAAACCTTTAAATTTTCTAATCGCTTCCTTTTCATCAGCAAGAGTCATTAGTTGATAATGACTAAATTCCAACGAAAACGTCGCGTTACCAGACGTGATAATTCTTAATGTTGTCGAATATCCTAACAATTCGGCCAATGGCACGAGAGTTTTGATCACCTATAAACCAAAACGTGAATGACGATTTAAATTGTTATAATTTATTACGAATATGAGGGAAAATCTATTCACCTTATTATTACCACGTATATCGATCTGTTGCACTTCCACACGTCTGCGAACAAGATCTGCATTGATATTTGAAGAATATTCCTGCGGTGTAACGATTTCCAGTCGCATCATCGGCTCTAACAGCATACTATTTCCATCTTGAAGCAACTGTACACGTGTAGAATTATATTATTTAGATGTATATTAGAGATCGAAGCCGATGATACATGCACGCAAAATATGATGGAGTGTGGTATAGTTTGACGTGAAATAATATGAATATCATGGAATTTATATATGCTATATTTAGAATGTAGACTGACCTTCCGAATGCATTGCGACACAGCGGCAGAAACGATGGTATCTGAGGTACCGCGTGCCACCTCCAACCAGTGTAACTTGACGCCAACATTAATTACTGGACAACTTAACTTCACGCCGTGCAACAAACCAGCACTCACGCCGTTTTTAATCGCACTCATCACTCGTGGATGAATGTTGTCGATGTTCGACGCATTGTCCGGAGACCTGTCGAGCAGCAGCTGCTTTTTTCCCTCGTAATTAGGTATTAAAGACATAGTTACGGCAACTTTATGCTTTGTCTGGCCGACTTTGTGCTCCACGTCTAGCGTATCTTTAACCGCATCCTGAATCGTTTCCTTATAGGCAATTTGCAAAGGACCAAGGTCCACGTCAATCTTGTATTCCCTTCTTATCCTCTCCTTGATAATCTCTATATGCAGTTCTCCCATTCCTGCGAGAACGATCTGATCAGTTTCTGGATCGTTTCTCACGCGCAGACTAGGATCTTCCCTCTGCAGTTCCTGAAGAGCGGTCTCCAAGGCGGATTGCGCCGATAAAGAAGGCGGTTCTATGGAACAGAAGAAAACGGGATCAGGCAAGTTCACACCCGACGCGAAGAAATTGTTCACATAGTCCAGCCGATCCGGGTTCTCTTTCAGCATAGTCTGTTTAGCGTGACTAGCTGTGGACGCACTCGTCATCACCAGGTCACCCGTGACGGTGTTTTTCAGTCCACCCACAGCCGCGATATTACCATAACTCACTTCAGCCACTTCCTCGTAATCGTCGGCACAGGCGATGTACAGGCGAGTGCACTGCTCGCTCTGCTTGCGCGTCACATTGTACAACTTCTGGCTCTTCTTCATTTTGCCGGAATAAATCCTGAAGAAAGTAATCGGACCTCTCTGCTTGTCGTGAACGACCTTGAAGACTCTGGCCGCCAGATTGTTCTTGAAGCATCGATACGGATTTAAATTGTCCGCATTCGCCGGCGACGGTAGGTAGAGAATGACGCTGTCCATCAAAGGCTGCACTCCGATATTTTTATAGGAACTTCCTAATATTACAGGTACACCTTTTCTACTTAGAGTGACTCTGCGCAAGGAGTCGACCAATATTTGCGGCTGTACATTTTCCAGGGATTCTTGCTCTATAATGATGTTTGCCAGTTTGTCATCAAGGCCTGATAACTTGTCAGTCAATACTTGTCTTTGTTCACTAGCGATGTCCCATAATTTTCCATCGTCATTTTCGGTTATTTTTGTTTTTATTAAATTCATGCCTTGATGTTTTTTATCAAATGTTAACTTTTCCATTGTTATCACATCTACAATGCCTTCAAAACCTTCTGCTTCCTTTATAGGGATCTGTATAGGTAACGTTTCGACATTTAATTTGGACTTGATAGATCGTAAACTCATATCAAAGTCAGCGTCTCGTCTGTCCATTTTGTTAACATAAATTATTCGAGGAATATTATATCTATCTGCTTGTCTGCAAACTGTTGAAGTCTGGGCTTCTACACCGGCAGAACCATCCAGAACTACAATTGCACCATCTAATATCTGCAAAGTTTGTTCTACTTCCATGGTAAAATCAATATGACCAGGAGTATCTATTAAATTGAAGCGATAGTCTTTCCAATTGAACGTGACAGCAGCCGAGGTGATGGTTATCCCTCGTTGACGTTCCTGATCCATGTAATCAGTCACTGTATTGCCGTGATGCACTTCTCCCATATTTTTGATGAGACCCGAGTAGAATAACATCCTCTCGGTTGTGGTAGTCTTTCCTGAAGAAAAATATATTTGTATTGAAACATGTTAACCAATCAAATATATTTTAACATGATAGAAACAATAATAACCAGCATCGATATGTGCCAATATGCCAATGTTACGTATTTTTGTAATCTCACACTCTTTACTTTTGAGCTCTCCTTTTGGGAGGGAAGCATTTTTGTGTATATATCGTGTACGTAGTTTACACCAGGATGTTTTTAAGAAATTATGTTTCAACATTCTTTTAATGTTTGTGTTCATTGGTATCTGTCAATGTTTAAAAGTTGCTCTTTTCTTTTTCCTCCAGTGGATCCTATATGAACATAAAATCAGTTTTTTACTTTCTTATCATCTCTTCTAAATTTTTTTATATTTAACTTATATTCTGTAATGTGAACTAAATTTGTTATACCATTCTTCTATACTGTTATTAGCCGTTAAACAATGCAAATTCTTTAAAATATTGTATTTATTAGTCATATGTTAATTGTCATTTTTAGTGAACAAGTGCACATTTAAAAATCGACTTCTTACAAATTTTATTAGTATTGTTGTTTAAAAAAATAATAAAATGAAATATGAATGGTAACCTAGAAGCGCTTATTTGTGTCAACGTATGTCAAATTATGTGTAGTATGAAGTAAATGTTAGGTTTGTTAAATAATCGAACTGTTTTTTCATTTTTACAAGATTACTTATTTATTCGAGAAAAATGCAATTATATGATAATTATCACGTGGATACACACAACAAGCAAAAGCAGCGTTCAGAAAATGATTGTTTCTGTCGACGTCGAGTGACAGATTGGCTAACATCAGATCCAATTTCCATGAATTCATGCTCGACTGGAAATATGTTTGGATGCAAATTAGGAGCTGATGAAACTCTATGATGTTATTAATCGTTTGTAGAATCGTTTAAATTCGTTTTTGTTACGAATATTATAAAATCAAGCATTTAATAAATTTATTTAGCTGGTATCACTTTAACCCTATGCTGCTCCCTATGCACGATTCACTTGCGTGGTCTTGACATCTACCTTGATACTGTGTATGGCTGTCAAGGCATCGAAGCTCATTCAGAGTCCACATAGTGATCATCTGTTCGCACTCCAAAATTAATAAAAAGTTTTATTCTAACGCTAGCTAAAAGCGCACTGCAAGTTTCTGTTTGCTCGAATCATCACGTTTGCACGACACACGACGCACGACGCCAGAACGTGTTGAGAATTTGTTATTAATCGTGCTGCTGGCGTGAGTGATCAGTCGTACGTGAGTCACTGAAAGAATTTATTGAAAAAAACGTGTGGCAGAGCCCTAGTCCCTTATTATGTGCGCGAAAATGGCCTTTCAACATCAGCCGGGTACTGCGATGGAGTGCCTAAGTGTATGTATTTTTTAAATTCTGTCATGTATTTTATTCATGATGCCATACACGCCCTTTACTGTTAGAAGTATTGCATTTTATTTCTTTTATTCTTCGCTTTGCAATGCTTCTGGTTCTATGTTTAAAATTTTTGTTTGTTTTATATTAATATTTATAATGATAAAAATTTTACGAGTAGCATGTCAACCCAGTAAACATCGAAATCTTGTAGACATCGAAAAGATATTTTATTCAAGATGTCTTCAAGATATTTCTAAAAGATATCTAGAAGTTATTTAAAAGATGTCTAAAAAAGTTTCGTTGAAGATATCTTTATAGAATATCTAAAAGATATCTATAGACATCTAAAAGATCTCTTAAAAGATATCTTTTAAAATATCTCTTAAAAGATATCTTTTCGTTAAAAATGTAAGACATTTCAAGACATAGCAAGATATCTTTTAGGGATCTAAAAGATATCTTTTTGTTTATTTGGGAAATTGCATGTCAAGTATTTATATTTCTTTTACATTGTGCTTTAAAGGATTAACTTAAATGTTTTCTAGATTTGTATTTGTACATTATGTCATATATATTATATACTAATTAATTGATTGATTTCAGATACCAATTACATTACATAAAGAGACAGAAATTAATGAAAATGGCGAGGAGGTAATGAAATGTGGTTTTAAAATCGGAGGTGGCATTGACCAAGACTTCACAAAAAGTCCACAAGGTTATACAGACAATGTAAGATATTATACTGTATATTTCAAAATATATATTACCTTTATGTAGTTTATATTATTTTAATGCTATATATATAAGAGCCAACATAAATGTTTTTTTTTAGGGTATATATGTAACAGAAGTACATGAAGGATCACCAGCCGCAAAGAGTGGTCTTAGGATGCATGATAAAATATTACAATGCAATGGTTATGATTTTACAATGGTAACTCATAAGAAAGCAGTTTCTTATATAAGAAAGCATCCAGTCCTAAATCTTTTAGTAGCTCGTAAGGGTGTCACCAGTACTTAAAAATATGCCAAAAAAATTTTATTGTTTGAGAAATATTTATTTCATATTATACTTTAACAAGGTTTGCCCATCCAATCTATTTTTCTGCCAAATATTACCGTAAATATTAGCAATTTTTATCTCTACGTATATATATTGATTAATATATATGACAATTAGTTAACAATATGAAAATATTGTTGAATCATATAATTGAAATGATTAAAATTTCTCTGTTTATTCCAAACCTGAGGCAAGTGGAAATTATAGATATACAATCATACATAGAAATATGATATATTGTTAGTATCTTTATAAAAAAAATTTAAAACAAAAAATGCCAAAGTATAATAAAGTTGCATTTACTTACACAAACCTTTGACTATGAAGACATGGATTACTAATGTTCTTTTTCTAAAAGGACACTGCCAAGAATTTATATTTATTCATATTTATGTATTTTTCCTTGTGCATTTCAGTCAAACCTAAGTGTAGCCATTCCATAGTTTTATAGTCAAAGCCATACATAATATATACAATATCAATTTTTTAAATATAAATGTAACAGTATATAACAGTATATTCTTTAACTGTAACGACAAGGATGGATGAAATTATAATATTAATATTTGAAATTATTAGAAAAGATGTTTGAGAATTTTGAAATTTTCAAAATATTTATAGTATTTCATACAACAGTTATTTTCTAGTATATTTCTTAGACAAATTTTTAGAACAATTTATATACATTAATTATTAATTCTTTAATATATACTATTTTTTATATTATATATATTATTAAAATTGTGATAAATTAATCTACCCTTTTTAATATGCGTAATATGTAAAATCGGCGGTTAAAAAGTGACAAGACATTCCAAACTGTACCTAATGCATTTACAATTTGTAATATTGTATTTTATTCAAATTTTATTAAGATTCTATCAATTAGAAATTAAATTAGCTAATGAGATATTTCTGCATGCATTTAACATAGTTTTAACTATTAAAATGTTATAAGATATCTCGAAAAGATATAAAAGTCATATGATTTATTCCAATTTGTTATGAGAATAAAAGAGAATATTATAATCTTTTATCACAATAAATATTATTATATATACGTTGATTTATTTCCAAGAATCTCATTTATATATACAAAGTCGGATTAGATAAAATATCTGTGGAGAAAAGCTTCAAATATGAAGATGATGAATTTACAGACGAATATCTTATTACATTTTTGACATTTTTTAGTCAACAATTTATGCTGCAAAGATACACTATACATAAACAAAGTAATTTTTGTACTTTGTCTCTTTGCTTTTTTGCAAAGAGCAAGTTTTTAATGTATTTTATACCTTTTGATATGCATTTTGATAAAAATAATTATGTATTTTATCTCATTTTAACATCGGAAAAAGTAGGACGAAAAACTGAGAATTCTCATGATATATGTAAGGATACTCAATTTTGAGATATGCTAAATATGTTACAATAGTCCTAGTCCAATGATAATCGAAACGTTATGCAATACTATGTATATATATAAACAATGAATGTGTCAAAGATATGATTGCAAAGCAAATATAAATTCCGTATGAATTGTAGAATACAATGTAGAATACAGTGATGTTATAAAAAAAAACCAAAGAAATTGTTGAAACTATTCTTATTGTTACTTTATTTGTCCTAATCTGAGAAGATTTTTCAACATGTATTTTGCTAATTGTTAATATTAACTTGGGAAAGTTATATTTAATAATAATTCCTGAATAAATTTGTTCGGAGTTTATTGCCTTCAACATTGTTATGACAATGGAAATAAGTATATTACTAGCTACATGTCGCTACATTGGGTAATAGTTGAAATTAGTAGTGTATCAGTAATTTTATATTGTTAACATTGTTCTGTGTGTGTCAATATTGGTTTTACATAATTTCTAGTTGCACAGAAGACACATGTTGCATTATCGGATAGTAATTAGTTCTACAAATTTTTTCTTTTTTTATTATTCAAACAATAAATTCTATCAATTCATATACATCTTACTTTCTGATGTAATATTACGATCTATTATACTACACACTCTGCGTACACTACTACTTACATAACTACATCTTAAAATAGTAAATTGTATCCTAGTACCGAATAACGAGTGCGGTATTTTAATGAATTGTTTAACAGGTATAATTGGCCGGTCACATAATTTCACTTCGCCATGTCCTATTTCTAGCAAAAACACATCTGCTTCATGTACGTTTAAAAATCATTATTTAAAAAATACGTTATTTCTTTACTTGAACTATTAGTTGCAATCAGCAATCACTGAGACAGAATTTGTTATATTGGAAGATATTTCCAATCATTGTGGTGTATATTTCACTAATAAAGTGTTTGTATTTGTACAAATTATGTCTCGGTGATTAAAGATAATGTCATATATAAAATGTTTCTCTGCTTGTGTATTTTAATGTGATGTTTGCCATCAAAAAGTATGAGCATTCTTAACGTTCTTATATTATTCACTGTAATTGACTATAGTTATTTACAATATTTATGTATTTCAATTAATCCTGCATTTTAGAATTAATTTTTATTGATTTAGTTATATTAATCCTTGTTATTAAACAATTTATACAAATGTTATCTAAAATTAATGGATTAGGCTACCTGAAAATTAACAACAACATTTATTAAAATATTATCTTTCTGCCAAAACTCGTTCACACTTAATAAATATATCATAAATTAGATATTTATGATAGTTGTACTGATATTCTTCATTAATTTGAACATTTGTTGGCACATGATACATTATTAAACATATTATATGTTTTTATTAATTTTTAGGCAGCTATTTATCTAGTTAAAAATTAGCTACCGATTACCACACGATTAGCTACCACAACATAATATATTAATAAATTATAAAACTCTTGATTAATGAACATATTTTAAACTATAATTTTGGTGTAATTTTTCAACTTGTTAATCTCTTTGCATACTACTACATTAAAAGATTCGTGGAAGTACGTTACTAAAGCGATCTAAATGCGACATAATGCATTTATTTAGCACTGGAATGTGTTTCATTATAATACTATAAAAATTCGTTTATATATACATCTTTCCTTGAGACAAAATTTGAATAAAATATTATCATTTCGTAAAGGAAGAGCATTTTTTCTTACCCGTGTTCTTTCTTTATGTATATAAATTATAATGTCGATCACAATTGCACAATCTGAATTACCGTCTACCTAAGAGCTGGAAATTACATGCTCTCGCGGTGTCTTTACTGCTTACGTTGCAATATGATCTATCAAATGTACAGGATTTCATTCTGAGTACCAAATCTTCTCTAGTTTATATATGAAAATAAAGTTTAAACAGATAACACTATTATACACTGTATCATTGTTTAACATCTATATGATAACATTGGTTGTATCATTGTCGGTGAGTATTTTAGGCTTGAGATTTTAGTATTTATAGATTGGTGATGTATATAGAAGTTACCGCGTCGAAAAGAAAAACAATAGACTAATTACAATCTGAATTGTATTTTAGTCTTTCGAGACACAAATGAAATTCGTGTTTTTTTTTATATTATTTTAGCGATACATCTATATCGCTAAAATATTATAAATAAAATTACTTTATGTCTCTTCCAATTCCATACTTGCTTCCATCGCCTTTCATCTAGATAAAGATGAACTAGCCTCTGATCTTCCGCTTATTGCAGACTGCAAACTCATCATTGAACCTCTGAAAAAGCCAATGAAAATATTAATAGAGGATTGTTATATATAAAAACAAAAAAAATATTCATGTGCATTATGTAAGTACCTGTAATGTGCCGATGGTAATGTCTCATAAAAATACATAAGTTGAGCTTTATGAGAACTAATAGATGGAAGAAATTCAGCTTGATCTTCTTGATTTTGCCATTGTAATACATAAGTACCAGTATCTTGCATGATATGAGTTCCCTACAATACAAAAGGATTTAATAATTCCATTTGTTAGCTTTGTTTATGTCAGTGTACAAATTATGTGAATTATGTACTTGGATGCTTTCTCCATCGTGACAAACTATACTAGATTCAACTTTAATATAGTTATCTTTCAGCTCTTTTGTGGCAACAACTTCATGGTCACCACCTATTGCAAACTCCGGAGCTTCTGTAAAATAATAAACGCTTATCATTATATAATGTATATATTACATCGTTATTTTAATTTGTTCACGAACATTTCATTTGCTCTATTAATTTGATTATATACTAGTTTCCACATATATATTAAAATGCACCTGCAGCAGCACCATTTTCTCCATTTTGTGATTTGTAAAGTACTGTAAATACGACATTATGTCGCATCACATCAAAATCCCATGTCAATACAGCGCCTGGATCATCTGTTTCTATGAACACATGATGAGTTTGGCCACGGCTCAAGCTGATGGAATGATATAAACTGTGTTCATGTTCGCCAGAAGTACCCTCTAAGTCCACTCTGTATAAATTTTTCGGCACCACTCCGCCTTCCATTATATATGTCTAATATTTATAAAAAAATAAGAAAAATTAGACATATTTAAGTTGTATATATTTGTTAAGATTGAGTATAAAACTATCAAGTATTTAGAAAAAATTTTACTAGAGTTAGCTAACCAAATTTCAGACATCTAATGATTTTCATAAATTACGCAAAGTCTCAGTAAGTAATTTAATCATAAAATCATAATTTAATTATAAAATCATAATTTAATCATTTTTGACTATAAAAATATTTTATCTACTTAAAATATTCTGAAATTTCACTAGCTATAGCACGTCAAATTACTTCACTTTTCGTGTGCAGTGTTGCCATATTTTTTAAATAGTGCCTAACTTATGTGCATTACGCATTACTTATGTGCATTATGAATACATAATTCTGATTATATAAAATTTACAATTTACAATTCGATGATACATATAGATGGTATTTTTTAACGAATTATTTTTAAGCTTCTATATTTTATAAATAAATTAAACAATTATCATAGTAGATGATTTGTATAAACTAGTCTCCGATGTGAATGATGTATGACAGACATGAAGACATAAAGACATAACACAAACAATGTCTAAATTTCTAGCAATTGCTGTTGTTACATATAATTTTCTGATTAACTTTCTTTGATATGTCAAATATGACAAAGTACATTGTGCTTTTTTAATAAAAAACGTCACATTTTTTGTTTCACTAAAGCCAGTTAGTTGAAGAAAACAATTTCTACATATTTAACATAAATTTTGTATCATTTTCTTACGCTGTTCACGGTTGCGTCGAAAATGTAAAACCTTCGAGGTACCAAACTATAGACTTCGCAAATATTCATTTCCTAGTGTTCAACATGCAACATGCATAATTATGATAAAAAAACGGCACTACTATTTTTTCCAAAAAAAAAACTATTAAAAATTTTTATGACTTATATACTATACTGTAAAGAACGTACAAAATAAGTCATTAATAATTTATATACGTATTTATGTATATAAAAACTTCATTAGAATTTGTGTGCAAATATTAAATATTTATGCTGATATAAAAAACAACCTGTTTACAAGTATCTAATTAATTATATATTAAATATTAATGTGTTGTAATAATTCGCATTATTTATATATATTGTAAATTATAATATTGTTGCAATATCTTACCTCTGAAGAACCACCGAGAAAATCAGGAATAAATTCTTGATTAATATATTCACCGAGACCTCCAGATCCCTGCTCTTGATAGTCCGTACCACAATAAAAGATGAATTTTTTCCTAGTATTTTCGTCTGCAATTTTAATTTATACAATTAATAACAAAAATTTAATAATTGACTTATATAACTTATCGTTAATTTAATAATTAAAATCCTTACTGATAAAAGTGCTGATAAGTGTCCACAAAATAGGGAAACATCTAGGAGCACGTATGATCAAAACCCTTCCCATTGTTTCTGGATAATTTGCCTCAACTATTTCTATTATTCTCAATAATGCCTGAAACAAATTGAGCAAATATAAATTATTGGGTTGAGCGGTGAAAACATTCATGAAATTATATCAAATAAAAGTTAGTTATTTTAATATTTTAAAATATTCGTACTTTTATCCCCGGTCTCCATAAATGTCGCATATTTAAACCTTCTAAATCTATCAATAGAGTCCATTGCGAAACTGGATGCCCCCAAACGGTAGTAGCTTCTTCCATTAAATGCAGACCTTCCTCACAGATATGTAGAGCCTATTGAAAGACGTCATTAAATAATTTAGAATAATTTTTAATATATTAAAATACATTGAAATAAATCTCTCTAACTTACTAGTAATAATAATTCATCCTCCCCAATAGATTTAAGTAGACCTTTAACATCCATTTGACCTAGTCTTAAAATATATAAAGGTCGCCCATCTACAGCAAAAGATATATAAATAGAAAATGCCTGATACATTTTTAAAATTTATTTTAAGTCAACTTATTATTTTTCACATAGTTTAATTTTATAGTTTAGCGCAGTATGACATTTACAGTAGTTTTTGTGTTGGGTGATTACCTTTATCAAAGTGATGCCAACCACCGGGAAAGTAATCTTTAATTACTTGTGGCATTTCATATTCATCAAGAAGTTTATCGATCTGATGCTTCTTCCGCCAATGTAAAGATTGCGTTAGCATTTCTCTAGTTTTTTCAACAGAGAATTCTGTAGCTCTTAGAAACCGAAGAAGTGTTGCATAACCTGGCACCGAACTTCCTCGTAATTCCTCAATGCTATGTCTAAGTTGCACTAATTTGCTCTCCTGCATCATATCTAATTTTCCTAAGTATCTCTCTATGTAATCCGAAGATAGCTGCATTTCTGGATAAAAAAAATACAAAGGTGAAGTAAGTGTTATATACGTGTTTTACATATATATGTATATATAAAGAAACTTACCTCTGTTACTGGGTAGTTTGCTGTCGGCATTACATAATTCTTTGTCACTAAATAACTCATTATTTTCGTCCACATTTTTCCTACATAAAAAAAGTAACCATTGCAGACCGAAAATAATTGTTCAATATAATTTCTTAATATATAAATTTACGTTAAATGTGTTAAATGTTTACTGCTGGAAATTAAAATTGTATGATTGTTACAATTAATGAAGTTTTGGATATTATTTCAACAAACAATCACGTGTGCATTTGAAGTGCTCGCCCAAGATGATGTTTCCTTACAAGCAATATGAAATTTGTGCAGTCAAGGTGTACACATTTTAATATGTTATTTGCAATTTAATTTAATTTAATACACTATATACTTACTTTTCCTCTTCAGAAGATCCTTCCTGTGGATCTTTCCAAGGAGCAACAAAGGTAATACCTTCTTCTTTCAATTGATTTATGAAGTATTCAATAATCTCCTTACCCTGTAATTAATTGTAAAATTTCAGAAAATAAAAAAAGAATGATATGTTATTTTATTATAATTTGAATAGCAAAAATTGTTACGCAAATTACCTTAGCAATATTTTGAGCATATTGCTTCATTGCTAATTTTTCCATTGAATTTTCAAAACCAAAGAAATTTTTAATGTCTAAACTTGCCGTTTGTTCAAAACAAGTCCATTCTGAATTTTCAGGGTGAATCTATATAAATAACAGTATTAAAATATTTTTTACATAAAGTTAAAAACTACAACATATAGTATTTCTAACACAAAGAAGAGAAGATTTATAAGAATATATAAATTAAACTTAATAGTTTATTTATTATATGATTAATAAAATTATATATATATATAATACTTACAAAATATCTACATTTTTCAATAACAGTTACTCTAGTGGCAAAGCTTTCGTTGTATGCTTCTATTTCTAAAACACAATTGCGTCTATCTAAAACATTCCTTTGAATAAAATATACAAAATCTACACCAATTATCTGAAATAAATAATATACATATTAATGAGCATTTTTTTAACTATAAAAAAATATTTTAATAATTTTAGGGATATGTTTACTCTTTTAGTTATCATACAAAAAATCTCAAAGTCTATCAAGTCAAATAAAATTGGAAATATGGATATTTCTTGATGTAAATATACCTTTTTCAAGATATATGGTGCTTCAACATTTAATTTACACCGTCTTTCTGTAGTTCTAATAGCACCGTCCTTGCTCTCTTCATCCAGCATAATCTCACATCCAACAAAAACTGGTATTTGTGGACACGTTGGAAATCTACGCTCATATGCCTATAAAAAATGAGGTATTGCATATTTTATTGCTTGATTTATGAATCACATTATAAAATAATTATTAACTATTAACCAAGAAATATGAGAACTTGATGAGAAAACAAAATTGTAACAAATAGATGACTTGCGTGTAGTCGCAAATTAGAGTTGCAAAAAAAAAAGAATGACATTTAAAATTGCTTTTGCTACTGTATAATTTAATATAGATATTCGTGCGAGGAATCGGTTATTGGATTGTCTGGGATATAGAACATATGTCGCGAAGGACATAGGAGCACGGAATGCAATAAATATTTCATGACAGCTAAGTTTGAAGGCTGCATAATGATAAACACACCATCATGACAAGAGCGAAGGGATGCTTGTAAACCCGCACGGGCGATTGATATTGTTGAACCATGTTTGTTAAAATCCTTTTTACACGTTTTCGTATTTTACACTGACTTAATCAAACTTTATGTGGCAATTCGATTACGATATATACACTATAGCCATTACAATTAATCAATTGACAGATGGAAGCAGACAGAACAAGACAGAACTCACGATACGCCACAATTACGATATAGAAAGTACTGTCACCTTCTAGCGAAAACTAAATAGAGGAGAAGCTCGCTACGTAATACGCTCTACGTTGCAACTTTCAGTGCCATCTTCTGACACTGATGTGACAACTGAAGTGGACAAAATATTTCTTTTTAATGAGTTTTAGAACGCGGAAAAATTACTGAGAAGATCTAGGGTCACTATTTTTCTGAAAAGATGGAAGAACTGTGATTGGCCAGTTTCATAACTACGATGTTACTAAACCCGATTAAGGTTGACGTGTAAACGCAGTCACTGATTGGATATCGCATGTGTTCGGAAATCATTGCAATATCGAGGAATTTGTTGTATGCTAAACATCGACATAATATGTAATCTAGGACTTGGATCTTTTCATAGAATTTTATAAGCCGTGAATGCGATCTTATCGGAGCACGAAAAGATCGCAATAAGCTGAAGTGCAAGTGACAATTTGGAAATAGCAGAATTTTCCCTCATGTGATGAGCAGCGCATGTGAGGATTCGTGTCCTTGGACATACTATTTGTCGGAGGCGATCAATAAATGTGTGCTCGATCTGTTATCATTGCTATCTACAACTTTTGGGCTAACCTTTAATTCCAACAACGTCGTCATTTTTGATGACGAGACATCATTGAAGTTCCGCGAATTCTTTCATGAATTGATAGCATTGCTGTCGTTCGACGATTTTCAGTTTCAGTTACTCAAGGTCTTCCTGTTGACATTAATAAGCATCCTGGCATTGATATTCGTTGCTTGGCATATTTACGGCTCCAGAATTACGGAGCAATTTATGACAGCAGGTAAGATCGTCTGAATAAAATGTCTTATTTTTTGTTTCGTGCTGTGAAAATTGGTGCAAAATATCAATATCTTTACCTGCATCTTATTTCAATATTATATCATATTAAAGGTATAGATTATCTATGACAAGGCAAAATAATGGCTGTAGATTAATACCAATTATTTTTTAATTATTTTTTATTAAAACATTTTGAAGATATATATTATATTTTAGGATCTACTGGAGATTGTAACTCATCAACTGAGGAATATTTTGAATAATTGATTACTGTTGTACAGCAACAATAATCTAATAAGTATGGCTGATAAAATCAAGTCTTTCTTTCAAAAGAAAAAAGCAAATGTGAAGTTTATGAAGGCTGGAAAAGGACACAAGTAATTGCAATAATAATATAAATTTTTGAAGCAGATCTAATTATAATATGTAATGAAAATTTAATATTTAGTTGCATTCTGTTTGATTTGTCTTTATATTTAGATTGACAGATTCTACCAGTACTATATGTACCTCAACAGAGCCTAAAGAACCAATTAGAAGAGCAGAACCTACAGAAGAAGCTAAAATAGCAGGTCAAGCAGCTTTAGCAAGATTAGAAGCAAAAAAGAATGACAAACCAAGATTTAATACGTGAGTATTGTACATATATAATATTAGTAGAATTAATAGAATTTTTATTTTGTTAGTTTAATTAACATAATTTTTTTATAGATCATATGCTGCTATTCAAGCTCGTGTTAAGCGTGAATTGGAATTAGAAAGAAAAGCACAGCAGAGTTCACAGCAAACAGAAAACACGCAACAGAAAGAAAGAACAGATAGCATTGCAGATCCTTCCATTTTTGCAGTTGTTGATGTATTCTTTCGTTGCCCATATTTATCTGATGAAATATTGTTACGAGAAGAATGGAAAAGGAAAATAAGAGAATTCCTGTATGAGCAATTAAAGGGAGAAGAAGCGGGATTGACCGCATGCTTAATTATTCAAAGTTGTAACACTGGAAAGGAAAAGATCGAAAGCTGTGTAGAAACACTTGGCAAATACTTGGACAATATCATTAATAATCCTGACATAGAGAAATATTGGAAAATTAGGATGTCTAATAGAATATTTCAAGTAATATTGTTCTTTTAATTTTTAAAATTGTTTTAATAAGTTATTTTGGAACAGTTTATACAAAATTTATATGTTTTTACAGGAAAAGGTTTTACCTGTTGAAGGAGCTTTAGATTTCTTAAAAGCAGCTGGCTTTGAAGAGAAGAAATTACTGCACAATGAGAATGAAGAAGACTTCTTAGTGTGGAGTCCTAATAATTGTGACATCGAAGAACTTACAATGTTGGATGAAGCATTAAAATCTGCAGAACCTATTCCTATCGAATTAGACAGAAATTTACAAGTATTAATGCCTAGTCAAGCTCGCATAAGAAATGAATTGCCACCCAGTTTTTTCACAATATCTTCAGAAGAAATAAAAAGAGAGCAACAGTTGCGGTAAGTTCACATATGCGTTTGATAGTAGATCATAAATATAACATGTAATTAAATGTAAGCATTAATTATTTTCAGAACGGAAGCTGTAGAACGAAGTCAAATGTTGAGAACAAAGGCTATGAGAGAGAAAGATGAGCAACGTGCATTAAGAAGATACAAATTTGCTGTACTTCGTATTAAATTTCCTGATGGAATAATATTGCAGGGTACCTTCTCAGTATATGAGAAGTTCCAGAATGTAATTGAGTTTGTTGCTGAAAATTTAATCGATAAAGTGCCCTTTTTGTTGGTGACACCCGACGGGATTAAGTTAGTGGAAGAGTGTTATGATAAAACACTTTTAGATTTACGATTAATTCCCACAGCTATATTGGAATTTTCTTGGAATCTAACTGATAAAGAAAATATGCCTAAAGGATACTTGAAAGAATTTCTGCTTTCTTATATACAATCAGTTTGAAAATAATATTCTGATGCAGTCAATTAAAAACATCTTTTTTATATTTTTTTCTTGTTATTTTTAGCACTTTGGCAAATAATGTTGATTTAAAAATGATAACATCACATGATAACATCACATTACATCAATAATAACATTTTACAGCACCATTCCTATTTTTGAGAGACTTTTCTTATATATTATGTCAAAAATACTTTTCATATATATTATTATTTATATTTTAAGATTCAATGTGATGAGCTGATCATGTTGATTAGTTTTTTAATATGAAAAATAAATCTCTGTTATTAAATTATCTACTTTTATCTATTACATTACATACAACATGAATAAATTAGGAAATATATAATGTAAGAAAAACTGTTTTATTTTATGTAATTTTATCATGTATACATATTCCAGTGTTATTAATATAATATATATAAATAAGCGTTATTAATATTTAATCCAGCACATCTTGTGATACATATTCTTATATTTTAAAAAGCCCAGAGAACAGTTTAGTTTATAGAGTAATAGCCAGCAAACTGAAATACAAATAAATAAAAATATTCCTTGCTTTATATCTGGAGCAAACATGATTGTACAAATATACAACGCGTGTCTGTCAGGCATTAGAGATTTTATATTTGTTTTATATTTTTCATGTTTGTTTTCTATTGCAATATTACAAAATCGATCTATTACAGTATATACTTATTTGTTTCTTGATAAAATTTATTTTAAAAGCACGTGTTTAAACCATATCAAATATATCAAATATATAAAAAAATGTATTAAATATAATTATATAATTTATTTTATTTAGTTAATATAATTGTTATTTAATAAGATAGTTAACGTATTATTTCCACAAATAATGCAAAACTAAATTAATATACCCAGATAGTCAACAATGTGATTACTGGGTAGGTATGAGAAAAAATTTTATTTTAAAATTCGCGCCACAGAACGAGTTCATAGTAACCTCTTCGAATCGAGGTTTCCTGATACCGTGAACTTACCTTTTGAATTTAAATATTTGAATTAGCAGTTTACTTCACTTAGTTTTAGCCACTAGCTCCTACAGTCATGTGTCTCTAATAAAATAGGGTTCTGACATCGCGGCTACTATCCGCTTATCGAAAGTGAGCAGTTCCTCCTATCGAATCATGTGTTCCTAATAACATACGAGATCTGACAAGTAAGTCCACGAACTTATTCTAATACCTCAGCTACTACCGGCTTATCGAAAGTGCATGTTTTCTCGGATTCTCGCAATACTTTTCGTGCGATAAAAATCTTCAGTTATGCCAACTTTTTCAGAGTATAGTAAACTATCTTATCAAATAATAATTAAATTAATCGAATAAGATTTGTTGTTGATTACATCTTTTCGTTTGTATTGTATTTGTATAGAATATAGTTTTAGACGTAAATGCTTTTAAAATTAATTTTATCATTAACAAATAAGTACATTTGTTATGCATTTTGTGCGTTCGCCTTTTAATATGTAGACGATACTGCCTGAAGTATGAGGAGTTGCCTGTTTGGAGGGAAACCGGTTATTCGTGCAGCTGTGCTGAATTACGGGTAGTTTTGTGTCTTTCGGCAATTACCTAAAACCAGTTTGAACATCACCTCCCTCGATAGTATTTATAGTCGTGTGGAATAATAATCCCTCTCTCATAACGGTACTGTGACAACGTAGTTCTGTATGCAACACGCATTTAAGTTGCAATTTATGATTGATAGAAAACTCATATTCATATATCTCAAACGAATCTGTATTCAATAATATATAAATATTTGTAAGTTTGACAATAATTGACTAATGACACGCAATTGACAAAATGCATTGTGTTGCAGATTTTTTGATCGACCCAGTTTGCATGATTTCATGAAAGTTAACCTCTATGCAACATGGTCGCGTGCAATATCGTCTGGCACTCCTAAATGTGCATGTAAAATGCGGTGCACGCCGGCTGTTGCGGTTGTCGCGTATTGTTGTATGCTTTTTCGAGCACATTGTTCAAACCACTTGTGTTTCCTGTTGCGTGCTAGGATGGGAGTCGACGCTGTACTTCGGCGCGTGCGATTTTTCATGAGGAATTTTGCCTTTCACGTATGTACGTACATGATATATGGAGCTCAAGAGATTCTGTAATGTCAAATGTATATAATGATTATACTTTATATATGGTTGTATTTTAGATATTTTGTCCTTGGAAAAGATGCAGCATACTTTTCTGTATCATATTTTCCACTGTGTTTCATTTGATCCTGATTGACGTTGAATATTGATCACAAGTACCAATATTTGATATGTTATCAGAAGGAAAAAAATTCATTGTGGGATAAATCTGCAAGGTGAATATCACACTATTAACGGATTTTGCAATTTGTTATGCTGTATTTCCATTCTTTGCAAGATTTATTTCTATTATTTATGTGTTTATTCCACGCTATTATTATAAGTACAATTTGCATTATTATTTTTCTGATACAGGACGGACTTTCATAGCAATTTTCTATAAGCAATAATGGACTTTCTTACTAACATGCTTCTTATTGTTGTTCGATTTACCACAGTTTCGTGGTCAGTTTCTCATCCTGGTCGGCATCGCATATTGTGGTTGGATGGTTCTCCGACCCGCTTTCTTCACATTACAAAGGATGGCTGTCAATACCTGCTTCAGGTAAGACGAATTTATTCCAATTTATATCAGACTTGTATCTTTTATTACAGTACTAGAAATACTATCAAATGAAAGATTAGTCTTTTCGATATTTTACATGTCTTTGACGATTTCTGTCTAGAGCTTTATACAGTATTTATTTTGTATTTTTGACAATAACATCACAGGAGAAAAAAAGAAAGCATGAAGCGCTTGAAAATTGAAATATTTTATCTAAGAAATATTTTATCTAAAAAATATTTTATCTAAGAAATATTTTATCTAAAAAATATTTTATCTAGAGTCCACCAAAAAGGTGGATAGATATTGATACATCCATTATTTATATTTCACATATAAACTACAAACATTTAATTGTTGATTTCTATTCGTATAAAGCATTCTTCTGCTTAGTCGACTTTAACGACTTGACGGATGACAATTATAGGAATATAAAAACATTGCAATGCGACATAATTGTATCTTGAAAAGTTGTGCATGGCTGTTTAGAAGAGGTGTGGGGATATGACGTAACTCTTCCACATCAAAGTATGCGTTTGATCACAGATCTTTTGCGGTAAATCATGGTTTAGCACAGCTTGTAATGACAGAACGTGATATATTCACGATTTTCAACATCCGTTCGACTGCATATAATAGCGCGTATTAGAATGTGTACATGGCCGCGGGATGCATTCATAAATGCTCGCGTGTGCATGAACACACGCTTGTTTGTAATCTCGCATACCGCGAATCGTCGCCCTTTTGCAATCCACTTAACGATCCTGACACACCTGTTGCAGAAACAGGTGGTAATGATCACACCGAGCAAGTTTTTCTCAAACAGGGTGGAGTGATATCATGCGTGAGATTTCCGTAAAAAAAAAATACTTTGACTGAGATTTCGAGAAAATTGTTAAACTCATACTTTTTATACAAGCTTTGACTAAAATTTATGAAACGGTTTAAAGTAAAATTGCATAATCGTTATATTACTAAATTATCGTTGAAGCTTAATTCGCTAATTGGATTTATTTTTTCACAATATTTAATGCAAAATCAAGGAGAAAAAAAAAACGATAATTTTAGTTTTAAATAAAGAATCTGACTTTATAATTTAAGGTAGAGGAAATCAAAGTTTGAGGATTTCAGGACATTCTGTGTGGTAATTTTAGCATCGCGTGTAAACGCGATGAAGTCGAAACTAGGAAGTCTAATGGGAATAATAATTAGCTTAGCGCGAAAGAACGTTTGACGAGAGAGAACGACCTTGCGTAAGGGTGGCAGCATAGTTGCGTAATTGCAATCGAATGACGAAAAGAAAAGAGGAGCTGTGCATCGGAAGCGAACGGCGTTCGAAGTGATTACGAGAATGAGAAGGCTGCAGCAGATAGAAGGAGTTCGAACGAGTATACGCCCATCTCGCTTAGAATCTAGCCTACCGGAAATTTGCAGTTACCTTGCATTCCTTGCAGGGTCGAACGCCTTGGGGATGCCTCTGATCCGCGGGGATCGTTAATTGCTCGTGGAACGGGATTTTCAATTCGTCGTGCAGATGATTTTCATCCGCCGGGAAAATAGATTTAGCGGTGGAAACAGGTGTTGAGCGACAATAATGGATGAAGAGGCGCGTATGTTAATTTTACGAAGTAAAGATTAGAAAATGATAATATGTAGAACTTTTATATGATTTATTTATCAACTTATCAACACGTATTGCATTATAATGATATTGATAACGATAGTATAATTGTTAATAATTGATAATAATATTAATTGCCAACAATGATAATATTTAAATTATTTATTTAAATTTTTGAAGTAAAAGTTTAAGAGGTACATTTGCACTATTAAAAATTATTAAAAAGCTGACAAACTATTGTCTTTGTGACAATTGTAGCAATCGTTTGGGGTCAGTTGTACTTTTATGCAAATTTCCAAGAACTGCAATGGTTTCTTATCACTGCGATAACCGGCGCAAGACGATTCATTCCGACTGCGATAGCGCGCGTCGCGCACCTGACATGCGTTGTCGACCAATACAAACGTGCGCCCGCTAGCGGCCATCTTGCGCGGCCTCGCTTTCACATCGGAGTCGCGTGGATCTCCTCAGCCGCTTCAGTGTACGCGGACTGTCGACCGCGGCTGAATGTGTGGTTGGATATTGACGTTTCCCTCCGTGATCGAATCACTTCGGTATCTCGTTTATCAAAATTGTGAGAAAAAAACTGGATTGATTTGAAAATCGTTCACGATTGACTGGGGGATCTATCGACAATGATCTACGGCACTCGACATCGAAACTTTTGAACTTTTACTCGGTTTACGTTGGTGATAGTGAGCGACAGCGAGCAGCATCTCACTTCGTGTTGCGAAAATTACATTACGCGCGTAATTACGTGACATTTCTTGTGATTTGTGTACGAACGCATAATGCTCGTCGATACGCGCAATTTTGCCGATTGTGACAAAAGATGAGCTAGTCGTGGATTGTCGTGGATTGTCGTGGATTGCATTATCGGCGAAACGGTACTGTGGTTGTTGCCCAGCCAGTTTGTCCTGCCGCTTTCACGACGCCTGTCCGTCAATCATCCGTTTTATCAACAGTGATTATCGATGCAACGTGAGCTCCGTAATGAAAGTCGCTTCTTTAAATTCACGAGACGAACATCTGAAACTGCAATGAAGGTAAGCGCAAAGCTTCGTCTTTTTTCAATTGACATACTTTTGTACAAAGAATTGTTGCAATTGAAAATAATTTAAGAACCTTGCAAATGTATTATATTGACATATTCTTGTTTATATTCTGATGCAATTTGTCTTATATATAAACAAATTTTGATTTATGTTTTTGACATAATGGTTATAAACACACTGCTTTTCGATTTTTAATTACTTGCTTTAAGTATGCGTGCATAATGGAAGACGAAAGATACTTACTTTACTACACTATAAAAAATTCAATAAATTAGCACAAATAAGATGTGATAATTACATGATAAATAACGAAAATATACTAAATAAATATTGTAAATTTAATAATTTTATGAATTTTACACTATATTTAATATATTTCTGTTATTTATTATGTGATTTTTACATTTTATTTCTAAATTTATTGAATTTTTTTACAGTATACTTCTGTCACTATATTCTACAATATAACATATAGTTGTAACTGTGCAATAGAAAAGATGCATCGTTTTGCGTAATAAGTCGCGCTAATAAGGACGTAACCGCGCACACGGCGAGGACAACCTGTGCGTATAATTGACAGGAATTTAAATCGTGCGATCTCATCACGATGATAAGCGACCTTGATTACGTAGTGCGACAATGACATCCTTGTAGAGCAGAAAGCGTGTCGTGCGTAATAGCGTCGCGTGTTCGGTGCAGGAGGTCCAATTTAATCTTGCACTTTCGCCAAGGTGTATATTATCATTCACTTATCACATATCAAAATATTGCGCTCGAGTTTGCAGTAAGAATTAGCTTCGTAAAAAAATAGCAGCACTTGGTATGAATCCGAGAACGAAAAGTACGCTTGGCGAATCTGAAAATTGACAATTTGGAAATAACGTCCGTGAAAAGTTGTTCAGCTATTTCAATGCGGACATTTAATTTCGTTAATAATTAAAAAAATGTTGAATACTTTAATACGTAAATTTTTTACAATCTAAAATATTAAATTTTGATTGAAGCCATTTCAGTTTCCATCTTCCAGCTTCAAGATTATTATCAGACAGTAATGTGATTTTAAGCGGTTTACTACGCGGAAAAAATTCCATTAGTCCGCGGTCCGCAATTAGTATCATAATTGGTCAGTCCAATTGCATGTACAGTTGTAGTGTCTCTAAAAATAAAACTATTTACATTTTGCTTGGCTGTCAAATATAAATGACACATAATTAATAGATAACTCAACTTCTAAAATGTAGCAAAAGATAAGTGACGTGACAGAAGCTTGTATAATATTTTCTGATATCAGCTGGTTCTGAAACCTTGTGTTTTATCGTGATATAAAGTTACCTGCGTTAATGTGATCTTGCTATATTTTAGCGGTATCGCACGGCATGCACAACTTGGAAGACGTCACAAAGAGATAAGAGAAATTAAAGATAGGCAATTAAAAACACATTTTATGTGCAAAAGAAGGTAGAGAAGATATAAAGATTACGGGTAGTATTTTCATTTCCGTTATCGTACTTGTACGAAATGAATACGTGTACGCCAGGAACCGATATTTTGCAATATAATTTTTTTCTTTTCAATTTTTCGATCCATTGTCAGCCAGAAAATTTCGACAGTTGTTTGCCCACACATCATTGTTTCTTCTCGAGAACAATGAGCCGTTTAGCGTGTTTCATAGTGTACTTTTATTCGTCGTTCGTATATGGAATGCGAATGAAAGCGAACGAGACTTTATTTTGCATATAGACACGAGTTTCTCAAATCGCATGCAAATCGTTTGCTTTATTTCGTTATATGACAAATTCTATTTGATTTTATTATTCCATATATATTTTGGAAGTGCCAGTGTATACGATTTATTTTGCCAACACTTTCTACTGCAATTATTGCGAGATGTAAATTAGATTTTATCATTCTTTTCATCATTTCCATCTTTTATTTGCGATATATGTAAATTGCTTTAAAAAGAGATGGCACTTTGTTATCCGCAAGCAATATTTACTTCAATATACTTTCAATCATATTTCCTCCTAACTTTTCTCATATTTTCGTGACGTATCGCAAGATTTCATATGATATATCGGAAATTCGACGAACCGCCACGAAAGTCCATTATTGCAAAAGTTTTTGACAGATATAGCGATTTACATTTCCTACATTCTTTTATGAAACACGAGGAAAATTTTAATAACCATATATCGTGAGTTGTATCGATCGCAAATAACATTCAACAATATTGAGCGACATTATTCTCATTCCTTTGTTCTACTGTTTATTGCAAAAATGTTGATAGATCTTTCCCATGTTTCTTTGTTTCTAAATGATTTCTT